ATGGATGGATGGATGGATGGATGGATGGATGGATGGATGGATGGATGGATGGATGGATGGATGGAGTTTTCGCGCTCTTTCCTGATCTTCCCATCCATTCAGCTCACCACCCTCGCCTCCTCCGCGAGTCCCCAGGCTGCCGCCGCCGGGCGTGGCGCCGCCGGTCGCCCTGGCCATGGCTCTGGCGGCGGCGGTGGCACCAGTTGCCCTTGCACCTGGTGAAGTCGTTGGACGACCCTCCCGCTGGTGACGGATCCCAATGCCCTATGGATCCACATACCGAACCTGAGAAGCTGATTGGAGACTATTTATGTAGGCGCCAGAAGGGTCCAATTACCTTCTGAGGTTCGGTATGTGGATCCGGGATGGAACCTGAGAAGAAAGACCGGTGGTGGTCTTCGACCCATGTTCCCAAGACCAACCCGGACCGTGGTCTTGCGAAGGGTTCCATATTAATCTTACAGGGGAGTAAGAGGTTCGCGATGAGTTCGCTATGCATGAGATGCTATATGAGGTTCATGGCGCGCTTTCAGGTTCGGTGGAATGAGCTGGCTGTGGTCAGTGGAGACAAATCGGAGACAAGTTTGTATGTGTTTGTTGTCGGGGATGTGTCAAACATGAATGGAATATGCAAAGGTGAGGAAAACAAACATAAAGTGAAGCTCGGGGCTCGGGCCAGAGATTCTCAGTTCACACCCCATTGAACTGGGATAAGAATTGCTACGTAGGTGGATCATGCGGTCATCGAACTGAGCTCATTCCCAAGGTCAGCGGCTAGCCGATCATGCTGAAAAATAGTAAAATAAGGTCGGCTCTCAGGTGTCTATACGAATGGGTCGGGTTCATCGTCCAGTCTAAGACTGGCTGTTTACCAATTGTTTATCTTTTCCATTCATTCCATTTCATTATGTTCCATCTTTGGGTGTCCCCGCAACCGCATGGACATGACGGGGGCTTCACTGGTCTTCTCTTAAGGATAAAGACATCTCAGGGTAGTTGAACCGAACCTGTTCTTCTTGAAGGAAATGCCTACCACCCCCTTTCAATCCCTTTCACACCACCCACTGCCACTGCCTGCGTGTCTGCTTGCGAATTCTTCTTTAGATTATTGTCCAGGTTTCACGAGTGCAGCGCTTTGTGTGCTCTTCTTTGCGCCAAAATGGAATCTATTGTTGTCCCAAACAGTCCCCCGCGCCTTCCACCTGCACGTTTTTTCTTCCAGCCACGCTCCTCTCCTGCCTCTCACCCATGCAGCTCCAAGAAACCACTCCGCTTCACCCGCTACGGAGCTGCGCTCGCTGCGCTCCACGGGCGCTGCGCTGCGCAGGGTCAAGTTCAGCACTGGCAAGCTCAAGTTCGGCTTCTCAGTGCCTTCCGAACTCCTGGAGCTCCTGAGTTCGAGGAACGCTGGGGAGCGCGGGAGCTCGATGGGGGTGATGGTGTCAGCGCATATATGTTGACCGAAGACTTTGGCTTGAAAAGAGGTTAAGTCATGTAGCACTACAGGTCACTTGGTCATACAATAACACTACTCAATGAGGTGCAGGACCAGGTTGTACTGGGTTAGACTGGAACTGTAGGTAAAAAGTATAGTTATATATATATATATAGTTTTATTAATTGTGACACATATCACTACGCATATCGATACATATCGCATAGATGGAGTGTCTGGGTCTGTCTTTTTTTCGTGTTGCGTCCTTGCTTGATCGGTTTGATTTGCGAAGATGGGTCGCTCCCCGGCCCTCGATGCGATGGGGATGTGCCAATTCGTAATACAATTGAAACCGAACAGGGCCTGACTAGCCTGTTGGCAAGGCATTGATGGATCTCCTGCGAACGTCACAAGCGAAACACTTTTGGCGCAAGAGAAAGAAAGGTCGCTGAAAACGACCTGTCTTTCATTGGCCAGGAGACTGCAGCACCTGCACCGTCTGCTTCACGACCTGGATTTCCTGCCGTCCATGGACGTTCGAATTCCGCAGGTCTTTTGTTCCTCCGGCCAAAACTCTTGCCGTGAAAGGAACAAAGATTCTTTAGGAACAGAATGGCCTCGAGCCACAGTCGACTGTGAGACTGTGGCAGTTCCGTTCTAGAGCGCCGAGCCTCTGTGATCAATAAGCGAGGCGAGACAAACTCGACCACTTTCCGGTCTCTCACGGCTAGACACTGTAGGCCAACGTGACACCACAAAAGATATAGGGTACGGCTCGGATCAAAAGACCACATACGACTGCTGCAAAATGTGCAAATGTCGCTTATCTATTTGCAGTCCTTGGTCTGGATCTGTGTTGATGTTGTTCTCTACTATTTGGTATGACATTATTATGTCCTCTTCTATTTCTGTGATGCCAGATTGCCCAAAAGTGTGTTGCGAAGGAAGCGCTTCCTCACCGACTTACTCCCCAAATTGGAAACCAAACGCATCAATACTGCCATCAATCTCATACTCAGTAGAATACACACTACAAAATGTATACTCGTACTGACTCATCCAATGGTCCAAATGCACAACCTCACACATCTAAATCCCAAGACTTCCAACCAGCTTCATCTTGCGAGCGCCGCCCCCACCCGCACCCGGATGCTCCAGCACGCTCCACGCTTCTGCACCGCATCCCGGACCGGCCCGGGCCTCCGGGTTCTGCACCGTCACGGGGGTCACGGGGGTCGCGTTCCGCCGCTGCAGTTCGGCGAAGGCGCCTCGGCGGAGGTGTCCCGGAGGTTGCGGTGTGACCGGTGAGTGGGTGTCCTCTGAACGGAGCTTTTGTTAAGCCCAGCTTTTTCCAAACCGAAGTCACGGAAGATCACCGCCCAGGCAGGGTTGGGTTGGGTGTGTACCGAGGGAGGAGTCTGTCGGCATGGTGACCGGCTCCCCAGAAATGTCCGATGTTCCCACCCAAACAAGAAACTCGGATTCTAGAATGCCTTGAAAACAACACATCACACAATCGATCACTTAAGTCTAATAAACAACCAGCTTGTGTCAATCCTATAAGCTTAATAAACAAACAGATTGTGTCATAGGATTCAAACATGTTCAAACCTTCCCATTACATCAATCGTAATCACTATCAACCCACTTTCAGGGGGATCATCGCAAAGGCTCGTCGCACCGCCGGAGGCCGAGCATCTGGTGTTCCAAAAGTTCCGCGCCCGGCGGATCGGTGCGCTGCTGGCGGCGGATCGGTTGCCTGTTTGGAGACCGGAGACACCATTCTTTATGAGAAAAGACTGGTACCTGGTACCTAGTATTCATTATATCTATTCTGGTACCTGCAATGAGTTACTATTTGACTTTCATATTATTTTTGAGAAACAATCATCACTGTCACTCGTTGCATGTGACAAATATCAATGTGAGAAGCCACAGGAGTCTGGTACAAACCTCGGCCAAATCGAAACCACATCAATCTTAAGTCCTTTGCATCCATTATTATCTTCAAATATCACCTAAGCCTCGTTGGATGTCGCATCCGCCTTCCACTCACGTTGATGCCTCCGTGGTGCTGCATGCCTCCTCCTTATGCGTGCCTTATGTGTTGCAGTACCTCCTAGGGCTCCAACAGTCGTACCTCCTCAGGTATGGCTGGACCCTCCTGGCATCCACCCACCCCTGTCCCACCCACCTTCTCCTCAAATGCTTGGAGCCCTACCCTGCGGACCGCCCCGCGGACCGCTCCTGAAGGCGAAGGAACTGCGGTGAGGTTGCTCCCACGCAGTGCAGCCTCACCTGCAACGACCTGCAGTCGAAGGATCACGCAGATCCGAAGGAACGCAGGGTCCTTCTTTGGGTAGTTGAAGGACGTCGAAAGCAACTATTGTTCTGTATTTCTACATGACATAATATTTCTTAGTATGAGATTTGGTGACAGGTGTCACCTTGAAAGGATTTGTCTCACCATGTTCAACTCTTCATTCTTTTGAGGACATCAAGTGCAGCGCACCGTCACCAAAGATAGCCAAGCAAGATACATGGACGGCATGGCGAAATGCTTCCTTTGTTTGATACCCTTCAGCCGTTGATCGTGAGATGCACTCACCGCACGTAGACCTGAGGGTATGTTGTTCAAGTGACTTTTGATGTATGTGTTGCTGCGCAAAGGCTGCGGGAGCCAAATAGACTTTGCAAGGTTCTACCCATGCAAATGGCCCTTTCGAAAGGAAGTCGACTATCAGTACATCTTTCCAAGCTTATTTTTTTTGACATGAAAGCCCAAGATACTATAGGCTACCCACTGCCAAATCATGCGGGGGCACGGGGACACACTTGAGTTTTGAGACGATGACTTTAGGCTACTTTGGTGACCTTTGAACAATGGCCGATGGTGAAAGGCAGGGAGAAGAAGGAAAACACATGAGATGCCGCACGGGCTGGGTCTCTTCCGATCTTACCCTCTTCTCCCCCTGTGTCACTTGGGTATGCTTTCAAGTGCCACTGGGTTCGCCGAATATTTTTGTCCCAGACCATCCATGTATGGAATAGTTACCTCATGTGACCTACATTAGGGCCATACATGGGGTCATCCATGAACATAACTATTCCAGTCCCATGGATGGATATGGATGGTCTTCTTCATCTCCAAATGCCTCCACCGGGGCCTCACCCCCTGCGAATGGCCAACTCATCCACCACCGTGATATGACGGTCGACGCAGGATCGATATCGGTCGGTCCTTGGGTTCACCACCTGGCGAGACGGCCAACGATGTGTCCTTTTTCTGGGGTATCCACGGTATCTTTGTTTGACCCAACAAGAATCAATGGAAGATTGTGATAGTGATATATAGTTCTTTATGAGAAAAATAAGCCGTATCGCAAGCCTCTGTACATTTGTCTTGCCTTTTGCCACTACCCTGAATTGGTGCTTTACTCTTGGCAGTTTCCCCGACAACACCACTCCAGTTTCCGTCCCAATACCACTCAATCAAAATGCCTTTCCACTTTAACACATCTGGAGGCCGTTGACCCCGTGCAGAAGGAATCGCACAATCCGGGAATTTAGGTCGGGAGAGCGTCTCTCGGAAGAGCGACGTGAAGGCAAGGGAGTACAGCGAAGCGAGAGCAAAACGACTCAAACAATTGATTCCTCACACAAGGGATGCCCAAACAAACAGTTTCAGGCTATATGTCATACCTATACGATTTTGTATAATGTCTAGAAATATGCATAATAA